CCTATGACGAGGTCCTCGAGTATCTTGACCTCCTTGCCTGCGAGGTCGTTAATATGGATAAAGGACCGGCCTCGCCTTGTCTAGGTGAGATTATCCTTAATGCTAGCTAGAGGAATAATAAAATACTCGTCGTCGCCCTCCTTAAATATTAACTAACCCTATAGTAGGTCCTCGGCGTCTTTTGTTATCCTAGCCACTATATGATAAATCTTCTCTATTAGGATTAACTTACCTATAAAGTATATTATCTCGCTATCCTTACTCTAGGATACTATTAGCCGGCTATTAGTCTCCTGCGCGATCTTCCTTCTGTATAATAGTAGGCTGAGCATATAGCCCATAGGAGAGTATATCGCCTTATAGAGCTAGGTATCTCGAACCTAGGCGAACCGTTGCGCGAGGTCTATTATCCCGGTCCGCTCCCGGGTAGGTATAGCCTACTCTCCCAGTAGCGCCCGCCCCGTAAAGACGAGTCCCGTAAGTACATAGGTAAATAGGTAGGTAGGTCAGAGCTGCCCCGTCTCGCCGTTAATTCCTAGTATGCCGACGAAGTGCTATAGCGGGCTCGCAAAAGGGTCCCCGTCGAGCCGCTATATCTAGAAGTCTGCTAGAATCTATAATATCTCTTCCTGTAGCCCCTCGCCTGACTATTCCTCGTCCTATAGATGCGCCTAGAGTAGCTTGAGGCTAGCCCTCTATATATGCGTAAAGCAAAAGCTATATTCGGCAAATAGCGCGTCCTCCTTTAGCGATAGCATATTAAGGCAATAGCATAAGAACCGCTTTATATATACTAGGTAGCGATCTATGCTAGTCTTCTCCTGTAGCGGCCTAAATGGTTGGCTATGCGTATTGTAAGGGTGGGGGCTAGCTAGGAGCAGGCGGGTTATTAGGGGCATACTCTTTAACCCGCCGATATAGCGGTCGAAGAATAGACGATCTAGAGCTATGGCTATCTATCGCAGCTCATCGTTATTATAGCCGGGTATCCTACTATAGGCTTAGATATCCACTAGATTCCTCCCGGCGAAGTGGGCTAACTAGCCGGTCCTCTTTAGCCAGTTCGTCGTCTCGTGCCTTAGGATCCCCTCCTCTATAACCTTCTGTATCTTCTCTTGCTTCTCCTGCTGTAATAATTACCCTTGGGTAATATCGGCGATTATAGTCTGATCTTCTGGGTGTGTTTGTTGCCTATCTATTATCGTCGCTCTTCTCTTCCTACTGACCGGCGTCGGAGGATCTCCTGCTACTAGGATAGTATCGCTACCGCCGGTAGAGATACCTACGTAGAAGTAGTAGATCGCCCTCTTTGGTCCCGTAAAGAATATCTATAGATAGACGCTAGTCTAGAGATCTGCTCGCGCCCTAGCTCCTTTTATGTTATGCTTATTATTAAAGTAAACCCATAGGCGCTTCTAGCTCGGCGTGAGGTGCCTATAGCCCGGCTAGGTATAAGCGAAGCCCCGGTGAATAGGGAGGCCCTTAATGGCCCGGGTCGGGCTTAACGCACCGTGCTGGACGAGCTGCTCTATTGCCGGTCCTTGTAGCTGTAGACCCTTGTGGCGGCGGATGAGATCGCTATGGGCCCGATGGTTAATATTAGGGTGACGGTCCCTTAAGTGACTCTCGAGGTTGCGGACCGCATAGCTATGGAAGGCGTAGATTAATAACTAGTACTCGCCGTTGTATATAAGCCACTCTTCTCCTAGTTGGGTGCCTTCTGTATAAGAATGATAATAATAATAATAATAATAATAACTGGCGGACTCTCCTGTGTCTTCCTGATGTTCTGGCCTGTTGCTATTAGGTAGGTCTGCTAGATGCGCCTGGGCTATTGTAGTGAGTAGCTGCTTGCTTTCGCTAAAGAAGCTCTCTCTTAAACGAATAGTGTCTATTGGAATCTGCTCGATCGTTATTGCCTGCGCTACTACCCGTGTATTATGGACGTATATAATAATGAGATTGAGCTTATATGTTCTCTTGGCCGGCGAAGAATCAATCCGGTATCTAGAGACGCGTTATATTATATTTCCCTCTTCTCTTTATTTTTTCTTTAACCCTAAAGTTCTCTTTCTTTTATCCTGATTGGCTGTAGCATAAAATGGTAGTTTAGGACTGGTAGTTTGGCCCCCCTGTTCGCGTCTTGGACCTATATCCGCGTATTACCTTGTATGGCTATTAGTCTGTGCTCCTAACCCTAGATGGTATTTTGGCCTAAACTACTATTGGCCTCCCGGTTAGGCCTTCGCCGGTATGGCTTTTATCCTTAGCCTCCTATTATTTCTCACTAGGGTCTATATCTAGGCGAGTAAACGGGGTGGGTAGACGTGGCGTCTCATTGAGCAGTAATGGCTAGAGAAGCTCTTAATAGCTTTAATTGCCACTTCCCTCATAAGTGCGGCATCTATTACATAAGTAGCGAATGCACTCGAGTTTATTATATATAAGTCGAGTATTACTTCGGTCGGTATTAGGGCCGGGTAAATACTATAAGTCCTTTAATAGCTTGTATTTGCATCGTCGGCTATGCTATACGGTGTCGTAGCTTACCGGAGCCGAAGGCTACGCGGTAGTAATGCTATTAGCCCCGGGAAGACTAGTAGTATATCTAGCTAAGCACCGCCGCCGCCGCCGCCGCCTAGCCTACCTCCTCCGCCCGGTCTGCCTCCTCCCCGACCCCCCGCTGGGTTCCTACTTCCGCCTCCGCCTCCGCCTCCGCCTCCGCCCCCACGATAATAATCTATATCTATACTCTTTACTACCTATGGCCTACTCTTAGCTTACTTAGTAGAGTCCAGGGACTTAAGTTAAAGGTACCCTCTTTACCCTAGTAATTAGCCCCTAGGGGCAATAGCCTAGCCTAATAGATAAATAAATTAGATTTTTAGCCCTAACCGACGGGATAAGACCTAGTCTAATCCTTATAACCTCTATTCACTTAATTACCTACCCTGCCTGCCCGTTAACCCCACTTACCCTATATCTCTAACTTGCCTAGTATGATATGGTCTTCTGGATAGCCTTATAGAGGTTAGTAACTTTAAGAGCGAAAGGCGCTTTAGCTTAGTGGTTAAAGTAATCCCTTTAACTAAGGGATAGACCTGGTTTCGAGTCTCGGAAGCGTCTAGCTAGCCTTAAAGAGCTTTTTTTGCTAATTAAAATAATATTACTTTTACCTACCCTAGACTATTATCTCTTTCTCTTTTTTATCTTTCTTTTATTTCTTTTATTTCTACCTCCTCTTATATTATTTATATTATCTACTATTAGTATTCTAATTATATAATTAAAGCTAATTATTATTACTAAGTCCTATTCGTATATATAGTTACTATTAGGTATTATGTGGGTAATATACCTACTATGGGAGCTCCCCCCCTACCTTCTTTCTCTCTCTCTCTTACTCTCTTTTTTTTTTTTTTCCCTTCCTATTATTGCCTATTATATTATATTATATATTATTATATATAACTAGTTAAATATATTACACTATACGTAAAACATAGTAATTAACTAAGCCCTTGAGTTTATCTCCACTTGAGCACTAGATCAAAGATAGCCATAGCATTAGTTATCTCTCGCCCGCATACTAGCTTACTGTGCTTACGGCCCAGCCAGTCAGCATAGTCATCCCGACCTTTAAAGTCTCGACCGGCAGCCTCCTAGACTTGCGACCATATATCTGCCTCCGTCACGGCGGCTAACGCCATAGGGACTATAGCATACTTCTACCGATATAATGCTCCTTTAGTCTCATAACTATCCTGATAGAGCTCCTGCGATATATAATAATAGAAGCAGCTTAAGAAACGTGCCTATAGATCCTTCTTATAGTTAACTAGACCCTAAAAGTTCATATAGCTAGAGAAAGATAGATCCTTCTCTGCTATGGCACTATAGGTACCCCATTAGTGCCTGGCCTCCTTAATGCTATCGAATATCTAGTAGATACGGCAGCCTATCTTACTAAGCTCCTCTATCTCCTCTAAGGCGGCCTCGAAACGTTCTAGAGCGAGGGCATCGCGCCTACCGCGGGCATATGATGCTATGATACCCTACGAGGATAGCTTACTCTTCTATAATAGCTCATCGCGGCGGCAATTATCGCATCGGACGGCATCGAGATCTCCATAGTCCCGTAGGTTACCGTCTAAGCATTAGCCTAAGAGGCGGCGACGGTAACCTTATATCCGGATTAGCCTATATACCTCGCGCGTGCTTAAGTCTAGGTAGCTATCGCAGATATAGTCCTTAACCGGCTAGTCCTTCTCCTCGACGACTATCTCTGCGGTGACGGGCTCCCTAGCTCGCCCGCCCTGCCCTAACTCCTAGGCGTAGTCGATAATACTAAATAGGGCCTCGAGATAGATAATATGGACGATACCTGTAATATTAAGGCCCGTGCCTAGAGCCGCGGTAGCTATGATATAGGGTATTTCGCCGTTGACCTATACCTAGAAGCCCTGCTCGCGCTAGGCTAGGAACTATATATCGCTATTATCGCGCTAAGCGTAATAGTAATAATAACTAAGCTACCGGGTAAGCGCTCTATACTTTGCGTGGCTAGTATAGTATATAACCCCCTTCTCCCCCGGTGCTAGATGTAGGAGCCAGGCATCTACTAGCCTCTTTACCTCTATAACGCCCCGTCTATTACGGACGCGAAGGACAGAGTATTATATATTTAGCCGATGGCTCGAAGCCTATATATAAAGCGGAGCCTAGAGCTATATAGCTTCTTCGAAGTCGCGTTAATAGAGCGGCGGTAGGGTCCTAGTGAGGAATATAAAGGGATACCCTAGGCTCCGTAGGAAAATAAGGCAGCGGAGCTTCGCGCGGTAGGTTTCGGCGGCAATAAATAATAGATAGCACTTATTAATAACTACTCGGTCTAGCCTTCCCCTAATACTCAGATTAGCGGCCTACTATAGGAAGTCATCGGTAATAGCCGCCTCGGCCGAGACTAGTATAACCCTGGGCTAAGATTTATGCGCCTCGGGCTAGGACTTGCAATCTAGGCCGGCATTGACGCAGCGTATGACCAGCTGCCTCTTTAACTCGGCGAACAGAGCTACCACGATAGTCACGCCTATACCTGCTAGCATGGCCGGGACTATAAAGACTAGGCTCTTCCCGCCGCCGGTTGGTAGCATAGTAACTAGCGGGCTTTGCTTCGCCGCGGCTAACCTGACGGCCTCTTCTTGCTGGGGTGACCGAAACTAGGCAGCGTTATTACGCAGGATAGCTCGGAGTGCCCGTAGGATTATATCATCCTTCTTCTTATCCCCTATTGCTATTATTATACCTACCCTTAGCTTCTCGAGCGAGGCAATCTTAGCCCGCTTCTAGGGAGGGTAGTACTTTTCCTCTCCGCTAGACTCGGCTATACCCTTGCGCTTCGAGGATAAAGTTAACGATGGCGGCGGCTCTAAGGCTAATTATTACTACGCGTCGCAGCCGAGGAACTTATGCTAATGATGGCTTACCTGCCCGAATATATCTAGAGACTCGGCTATTAGGCGCTTTAGTATATCGATCGTGATACTATAGTTGGCGGCTATCTAGCCGGTGTGATAGGCAGCTAGATCGTCTAGCGCCTTATATTGCTCTAACTTATTATCGTCGTCGCTATCCTTAAAGTCTGCCTAAGCGGCCCCCCGGTCGCGAGCATATTTCTTACTAATAGCGATAGCGATATAGCGCTAGTCTTAGAGCGTAATCCTACGGCCGATATAGTGGGAGGTCTATTTCCCTATGGCCCCAGATATATGACTGCCCTCCCACGGCCCTATCTCGTTATGCTAGATAAAGTCGCTCGGCAGCGCTATCTTACTATATAGCTCCTATCTATCTGCCTCCCAGCGATCTATTAGCGGTCGGATATAGACTATATATATTATAAGTAGCTGCCTGATCCTCTCTGGCAGGAAGCGGGGGATTACCTTCGGCGAGTTAAAGTGGGCTAGAGACTTATAGTACTAGGTGACGAGCATAATATCGCCGTCGATAATAAAGATATTACGGTCCCTATTAATGCCATTAACTAGGCATAGGCCTATGATCTCTTCCCCTCGGCTAGGCTAGCCGCCGGTGATATGGGAGAGGAGCAGTAGAAACTCCTTGAACTTTTTTACTAGCTTTAGGTACTTCTTAATACCTACCTATTTCTACTTACCGGCTCGGTCTAAGAACTTTGCCTTCCGCGAGCCTATGATGAGGTCCTCGAGCATCTTGACCTCCTTGCCTGCGAGGTCGTTAATATGGATAAAGGACCGGCCTCGCCTTGTCTAGGTGAGATTATCCTTAATGCTAGCCAGAGGAATAATAAAACGCTCGTCGTCGCCCTCCTTAAATATTAACTAACCTTATAGTAGGTCCTCGGCGTCTTTCGTTATCCTAGCTACTATATGATAAATCTTCTCTATTAGGATTAATTTACCTATAAAGTATATTATCTCGCTATCCTTACTCTAGGATACTATTAGCCGGCTATTAGTCTCCTGCGCGATCTTCCTTCCGTATAATAGTAGGCTGAGCATATAGCCCATAGGAGAGTATATCGCCTTATAGAGCTAGGCATCTCGAACCTAGGCGAACCGTTGCGCGAGGTCTATTATCCCGGTCCGCTCCCGGGTAGGTATAGCCTATTCTCCTAGCAGCGCCCGCCCCGTAAAGACGAGTCCCGCAAGTACATAGGTAAATAGGTAGGTAGGTCAGAGCTGCCCCGTCTCGCCGTCGATTCCTAGCACGCCGACGAAGTGCCACAGCGGGCTCGCAAAAGGGTCCCCATCGAGCCGCTATATCTAGAAGTCCGCCAGAATCTATAATATCTCTTCCTGTAGCCCCTCGCCCGACTATTCCTCGTCCTGCAGATGCGCCCAGAGCAGCTCAAGGCTAGCCCTCTATGTATACGTGAAGCGAAAGCCGTATTCGGCAAATAGCGCGTCCTCCTCTAGCGATAGCACGTTAAGGCAATAGCATAAGAACCGCTTCATATATACTAGGTAGCGATCCATACTAGTCTTCTCCTATAGCGGCCCAAACGGTCGGCTATGCGTATCGTGAGGGTAGGGGCTAGCTAGGAGCAGGCGGGTTATTAGGGGCATGCTCTTTAACCCGCCGATATAGCGGTCGAAGAATAGACGATCTAGAGCTATGGCTATCCATCGCAGCTTATCGTTATCATAGCCGGGCATCCTATTGCAGGCTTAGATATCCACTAGATTCCTCCCGGCGAAGTGGGCTAACTAGCCGGTCCTCTTTAGCCAGTTCGTCGTCTCGTGCCTCAAGATCCCCTCCTCTATGACCTTCTATATCTTCTCCTACTCCTCCTGCTACAGTAACTACCCTTGGGTGATATCGGCGATTATAGTCTGATCTTCCGGGTGCGTTTATTACCTATCTACTATCGTCGCTCTTCTCCTCCTGCCGACCGGCGTCGGAGGATCTCCTGCTGCCGGGATAGTATCGTTGCCGCCGGTAGAGATACCTACGCAGAAATAGTAGATCGCCCTCTTTAGTCCCGTAAAGAATATCTATAGACGGATGCTAATCTAGAGATCCGCCCGCGCCTTAGCTCCTTTTATATTATGCTTATTATTGAAGTGAACCCATAGGCGCTTCTAGCTCGGCGTGAGGTGCCTATAGCCCGGCCAGGTATAAGCGAAGCCCCGGTGAATAGGGAGGCCCTTAATGGCCCGGGTCGGGCTTAACGCATTATGCTAGACGAGCTACTCTATTGCCGGTCCTTATAGCTATAGACCCTTATGGCGGCAGACGAGATCGCTACGGGCCCGATAGTTGATGTCAGGGTGACGGTCCCTTAAGTAACTCTCGAGGTTATGGACCGCATAGCCATAGAAGGCGCAGATCAATAACTAGTACTCGCCGTTATATATAAGCCACTCTTCTCCCAGTTGGGTGCCTTCTATATAAGAATAATAATAATAATAATAATAATAATAACTAGTGGACTCTCTCGTATCTTCCTGATATTCTGGCCCGTTGCTATTAGGTAGGTCTACTAGACGCGCCTGGGCTATCGTAGTAAGTAGCTGCTTACTTTCGCTAAAGAAGCTCTCTCTCGAACGAATAGTATCTACTAGAATCTACTCGATCGTCGTTGCCTACGCTACTACCCGTATATCATAGACATATATAATAATGAGATTGAGCTTATATGTTCTCCCGGCCGGCGAAGAATCAATCCGGCATCTAGAGACGCATTATATTATATTTCCCTCTTCTCTTTACTTTTTCCTTAACCCTAAAGTTCTCTCTCCTCTATCCTAATTAGCTATAGCACGAAATGGTAGTTTGGGACTAGTAGTTTGGCCCCCCTATTCGCGTCTTAGACCCACACCCGCGTACTACCTTGCATGGCCATTAGTCCGTGCTCCTAACCCTAGATAGTATTTTGGCCTAAACTACTACTGGCCTCCCGGTTAGGTTCCTTTAGAGGTTCTAGAGGTTCCTTTAGAGGTTCTAGAGGTTAGGGTCAGGCATTAGGTCAGCTATAGATAGAAGCCCTTCGGGCTTCTATAGAGATTCTAAGGTCTTCTATAGAGGTTAGGGTCATGGTTAGGGTCAGGCATTGGGTCAGCTATAGATAGAAGCCCTTCGGGCTTCTATAGAGATTCTAAGGTCTTCTATAGAGGTTAGGGTCATGGTTAGGGTCACATATTGGGTCAGGGTTAGGGTCAGGCTTTGGGTTAGGCTTAGGGTTAGACTTAGGTTAAGGTAGAAGCTTCTAGAATAACCCTAGGGTTATATAAGTATCTCTAAAGACCTTATTCTCTAAGCTTCTTATAACCTTAACTCTTACCCTTATGCTTAGTTTCTAAGCCTTATCTTAGCTACCTTATAGCTATTTTCTCTTTATTATCTTCTTTCTTATAGCTACCTTATACCTCTAGTTACCTTATACCTACCCTATACCTCGGCTACCCTATACCTACCCTATACCTCTAGCTACCCTATAGTAAAATGCCCTCGCAGGTATGCCCTACCTGCCAAGGCAGCTATAGAGATACCCTAGAGCATATACGCAAAAAACACCCGGCCGAGGCCTATACCAACCAACAGCTACAGCCCCTTGGCTTAGTCAGCTGCCCTTATTGCGGCACAGCCTGCCGCGGAAGTCACGGCATCAAGACCCATAGTGCTAAGATCCACGGCATAGAAGGTAAAGCCCATATTTCTACCTTACCTAGGCCAAGGACCTATATAGCTACTAGGGCCACTAATACCTCTAGGGCCTCTTTAGCTTCTTCCCTTAGCCCCACTAGTCCTAATCAGGCTAGCCCGGGCTTAGTTAGCTATAGAGGCCTTATAGGAAGAAAGAGACTAGCAAGGACCCCTTCTCCACAGCTACAAAGACCTACTAGGCGGCAAAGGCAGCTACAGCCTAACTCTACCCTAGAGGAGCCTACCCTAGACCGACCGGCCTCAAGGGAAAGCTATAGGTCTTTTTCTAGCTATGAGGAAAGGGGAAGACCCTCTAGCCCTAGGTCCCTTAGCTCTAGCTCCTCTTGCCCTAGCACGCCTAGCCACAGGCCCTCTAGTCAGGGACCTACCCTAGAGCCTCTAGAAGAATATACCCTAGAGCCTCTAGGGCCCCTAGAGGAGCCTACCCTAGAGCTAGAGACTAGGGAGCCTAGGGAGCCCAGGGAGCTTACCTTAGAGCCCGAGCCTAGGGAGCTTACCTTAGAGCCCGAGCCTAGGGAGCTTACCCTAGAGCCCGAGCCCAAGGAGCCTACCCTAGAGCCCGAGCCCAAGGAGCCTACCCTAGAGGGGCCTACCCTAGAGCAGCTACACAACCAAGCTATAGCCCCAATCCTAGCCAAGGCTTCTATGCAGAAGCTATTAGCCTTTGCAAGGATCCCTATACCGGAAAAAAGGCTACATGCAAGGCAGGCTGCTATTTTCACAGCTACAGCCCATAAAGCTGCAGCTACCTTTCTAAAGAGGCCTACTGAAAAGGCCCTCTTATATTTCCTTATCTTGCCTAGGCTACTAGGGTTAGGGTTACAGAAAGGAGGCCTAGCTAGCCTCCTTAGGTCCTTCCCTTCTAACCTACCTACCCTAGAGAGCCTAGAATCTCTCCAGCAGCCCCCCGAGCCCCCCAAGGCAGCTAGACCCTCTATAGCTCCTAGCCCGGCCCAAAGGGCAACTAAGCTACTAGAGAGAGGCTACCTAGGCCGGGCTGCTAGGGCTCTTATTGATCCGACCCCTATAGCACCTAATTCAGTAGAAAATAGGGCTAGGCTGCTAGAAAAGCACCCTATTGGATCAAAAGACCCCTTCCAAGGCAAGACCCGCCCAAGGGCCGGCCAACCAATCACGTCAGAGACTATTATAGCAGCTATAGCCTCTATAGGCAAGGAAAAGGCCCCGGGCCTTAGTGGCTGGACTAGGCCTCTTCTAGACCTAGTAACTAGGAAAGATTCCCCTGTGATAGCTTTCCTAAGGCTGCTAGCTAATATGATTCGCCAAGGCACGGCCCCTAGAGCCCACCTATTATGCGCTAGCCGCCTTATAGGGCTTGAAAAGCCCGATGGAGGGGTTAGACCTATAGCTATAGGAGATCTTATCTATAGGGTAGCTATGAAGGCGATCCTAATGACCTCCTATCGGCCGAATATGCTCTTACCCTTCCAGCTAGGCGTGAATAGCCCAGGCGGGGTTGAACCCGCTATTTTCCTCCTCTATGAGGCTATTATAGGCTTAAATGAGGCTAATTTTCAGCAGCTAGCCTCTATAGACCTTGCTAATGCCTTTAACTCAGTAGATAGGGCTTCTATAGCTGCTTCTGTAGCTACTTTTGCCCCTACCTTCTATAAGGCAGCAGCTTGGGCCTATAATGACCCTTCTATCTTAGTTATGGAAGATGGGTCAGCTATAGCCTCGGCCAAGGGCGTAAGGCAAGGTGACCCTCTCGGACCTCTTCTTTTTTCCCTTGCCTTTCGACCTACCCTAGAGGCCCTAGCTAGGAAGCTACCTAGGGCAACCTTAGTAGCTTACCTAGATGACCTCTATATACTTAATAAGGCTCCGCAAGGCACCTTAGAGGCAGCTAAGGAGGTCTTAAAAGGCTCCCCTTTTAGCCTTAACCTAGCTAAAAGCAAGGAAAAGGCTATAGAGGACCTTAAGCTAGAAGGCTTAAAAGCCTTAGGTACTTATATCGGCCCTATCCGGCCTAAAAGAACCTTCTTGCAAGAAAAGCTAGCTA